TTATATTCAGCCTACTTGGCTCATGAGACATTTTTCTCTTTCTTGGCCGACACAGGTCAGACATTTTTCTGCTTTTTGGGTCGACTCAGACCAGACATTGTTGTATAGATTAGGCTTGAGGCTTAGTTCACATTGCACCCCTTTTTCCTGCATGGAGCTCGCTCCGCATTTAGGATTGATTTTCTTTGGCCGTTCCTTTTGGGCTCCCGCTCTTTCAGCGGATAGCGTGTTTTGATGTATCTCTGGATCCATTTACAGGTCCGAGGATCGTGGAGCGGTATCCCTCCGGCCCGGCAGTGAGGCCGGACCAGTTTCAGGCCGTCGGCCTGACCCTGGTCCGGTACCAGGTTATTCCGCTACTAGACCCAGGCCGGTATATCACTTCGGCCTAGGTCCAGGGCGGCAGGTTCATTCATTCAGTTGTTCGTTCATTCATTGGCCGGACTGGACCTTCACTCAGCTGCTGCTTCTCGTGTGTCCATCTCCTCTCTCTCTCTCTCTCTCTCTCTCTCTCTCTCTCTCTCTCTCTCTCACCATCGTCACACGTGCCATCTGCACGTGTGTCACAGGGACTGTGCCTTGGACCAACAGTCGGCGGGGTCCAATTGTGCTGCGAAAAGGATAGGTATCGCTTTGCTCTGTTTGAGTAAGTGGGTGTCCTCGCCGACACCCTGTTATGGACATGCTGCGTATGTCCTACTGGCCTTGCAAGTGTTTCCTTACGGATCGGTGTGTCCGCCGTGCGTTGTGATTATATCTGTGGGTACCAGTTTTCATCTTGCTACTTTGCTGTCGGGTTGTCCCTCCGCCGCCGAGGCCGCCGTATGCATCCGGTGGGCTGTCGTGTCGTCGACGCAGGCAGCTACTACAGTACCAAAGCGCAGTCTCCGTACTTACGATTGAGCCTCGGTGGGCAGGACGGTTGTTGGCTTAAATGGCCATTGAGCCGGAAGGCTGCTACTGTGGTCAAAACTCGGACGACGATCACAAATCACTAATTGCCACTCACTGTTGAGCCGAGCCGCCGCTTTCGTGCAGCACAAATCGTTGTCTACCTTTGACAGGGGTAGAGTGTTACTGCTGGGCTGTACCGTTGACTCCAGGGGCGGTTTATGTTCTGCTGGTCGCTTCCTAAGGCGTCGCAGCCCACTTCTTGGCCGATACTTCTGTGGAGGTCAGTGCAGTTATTAAGAGACTGGAGGTTGCGGTTGCGGCTGAGTTTCAGACTGCGGGCTGCTGCGATATATGGCACACAGTTGCCTGTTGCTACGTTGCCCGCTCATTAGCAACACTGCTGTGCTTTGCCATTTGTGGTGCCTTTTTTTTTCTACTCCCCGCTGTACTTTCCGCTGCTGTGACTGCTCTTGGTTGTTGAGCTCACACGTGAGTTGAGCGCAGGAGGGGTGTGCCCTGTCCAAAATTCAATCCTTCTAGGTTGCACGGCAGGAGGATTGGACTAAAGAGAGGAGTTGGGGCTCAGAGGAGCAATTGGGTTTGAGAAGGAGAGACAATGCTGTGATTTGGCAGCCCGTCAGGAGGTTGATTGCGGCAGTCAAATTTAGAGTTGACCAAGCTGTTGCGTTCCGGCCGCCATTTATGGGGCCCTCGGGAGCACCAAGATTTCGAGGCCCTCTCCCGAGAGTTGAGCTGTACCCCTCTTGGATTTCGAGAGTTTGAAAACTTCTCTCCCATGCCTTTCTAAATCTAAGTCTAGTCTAGTTTTGAGAGGAAGGCAGCAGGCGGGGTTGCAACCCGTAATCCGCGCCAAGGCCTTTGTGGGAGGTTACCCCACCGATTGCGGGAGCTCTCCCGGGACTCAGGAGGAGTCTTGGAGGCAGGGAACTGAGTGGTAATTCCCTGACCCCCTCTATAAACCCAGTTATAGCCCTATCTATACATCCTTCTATGTTTGGCTGAGTATATTGAGTGTGCCCCTACCTTTGACTTTTAGTTTGACTGGCAGGATACAACTCAGACTAAGTAAATGAATGCGTGAGAAATCTCAGTTTCAATTTTGATTGTCTAAAAGCAGACTTGCTAAAAAAAAAGGGGTTTGCATCGGGGGAAGGGCGGGAGAAAGGCAGCTTTGCTGAGATTGAAAGGGTCATGTGGGGTCAGGCATATTCCATAAGATTGAATAGCCTGGCTTCTTATTTTGAGGGATATTGATGCCTGAGTTTGAGGACCAGACATTGTTTCTAAGATGAATGGTCTGGTCGCCGTTTATTTCTGGGTGGTTTCTGAACAGTCTCCGAGTTTAACTCAGAGTACTCTGTCTTTTT